CTGTTATTTCTCAAGATCAGTTTTATTTTGTTCAGATTCAAATTACCTTCGAATTCGATATTGTTTTTACCGTTCACGCTTCCTGCGTATTCGGATAGGTATTCGTTGATGGCTACGTATTCGTAGCTTCCCGGTAGTAAGCTTATGGTTTCGAACGTAACTCCGTTATCCGTCGATATTTTTAGTTGATTGTTTTTTTCGTTGATGTTTCTAATGGAATTGTAAACGGAGAAATACTTTAATCCCAGTTCGTACTGTTTATTGCGATCGAGTTCATACTCGTAGTCTAGAGACAATTTGATGTCTGGTTTATTCGAGGTGATATCGAACAATTGTTCTTTATTGGACATTTTTAATGACGTTTATATAGTCTTTTTTAGTGATGATTTCTTTCTCCAAAAGTCGTTTTAATATGTCATTGACTTCGTTGTATTGTCTGTCCGATCGATGACCTTCTTTCATGGCCGCTAATATTATTTCTAATCTATTAAGCAATTCTTTATTGTTGTCGGATAAAAACGTTATACCTTGTCCAGATGCCACCATATCATCGAATTCGTCTATTTCTTGTATGATTGGTGGATAATCTTCTGCATAATCATCTACCTCCTCTTGCTCAATAACTTTTGTTATATATAAATCAACTTCTTTCAATCTTCTTGTTTCGGGTCCTGACTTTCTGATCGCATGTAGAAATTTTGAGTATGCTACTAAATCCTTGTAATCGGCAATTTCAACGTCCTCGCCATTCATTAAATCTATTAACCCTCTCGTTAATGTGTATATGTAATCTTTTGTATCGATTATAAATTCGGGGGTATTTGTACTAAATCTTATTCTAAAACCATTGAACAACAAACCCGCTTCATCAATGATTGGTGAAATGCTTTTTGGTAATTCTGGGCTAGGGTTTGAAAAAAGACGTTTTACATCATCTGCTGTCCTAATTATAACACCACTATATTCAATCGCTTTGGGGTGATGAGGTGTGGGTTCTATACGAGGCGTGGGTTCTATAGCGAGTCTCTTTTTAATATCTTCTTGACTTTTTAATATGGGTTGAAATAGAGTCTGTAGATTTTCCGTTAATCCGAGTTGTTGTAATATGTTATTTTCAACTTGGGTCTTTATTTTATTCTTAGCTTTGATATATTCTCTATTTCTTTTTAAAAAATTATTCCAATCCGTCATTTTAAAAAAAATAAAATTAACATATATCGATCATAACTCTTTCTCCCGCAGGTTTTCTAGTATTTACAAATACATATCCATGATCATCTGGGTTTCTCCATTGAGCTTTACAAACCTTTTTAAATGTATCTCTATCCATTCCGTGATTTATAGACTGAATGATTTGAGATAAATCTTTATCATTTAATTCAAATAATAAAAAATAATTTGCATTTTTTCTAATGAACATAGGATCCATCCCGTAAAAAGATTGGGATTGGTATATGCAGTGACAGTTGTGATGTCTTCCTTTGGTGAAGAATTCTTGTTGAACAGTTTGATTTCTTTGCGCTACGCAGTCGTCAAACAATATTAAGTTCTTTCGATTGCTATCAATATAGACA